CTTCAAATTCATTTTCTTCTTCTCCATTGAAATGGCGACGAGCAAGTGCCACTATCTACGGCCGAGCCACGGCTTCTTATCCAGCGACCCTGAGCACATCGTTACCGCCGCTTCCGATTTCGAGCTCGACGAGTGGGACCTCTACAATACCGATTCAGATTCTACTTCCGGTTTCAGCTTTACTGACCTTACGATCACCTCCGGTCGTACCGGACCTAACCGGAAACCTCGCGGTGGCTCCATTTCTGAGAAATTCTCCGAGACTTCGGCGTCTTCGCTCCCGGTCAACGTGCCGGACTGGTCAAAGATCCTCGGTGAAGAGAGCCGACGGAGGCAGAATTCGAACGAGGAGGAAGTCGAGGGAGAAGAGATTGCATGCGGCGAAGGAACACGTCGAGTTCCGCCGCACGAATTGCTCGCGAGGCGGAGGATGGCGTCGTTTTCGGTTCACGAAGGTGCTGGGAGGACTTTGAAAGGTAGAGATCTAAGTAGGGTGCGAAATACTATTTTTAAAATTAGAGGGATCGAAGACTAAAATATCTTTTAAATTGGGGTTACAAATAGAAATCGAATTGTAAGGGGGAGGTTTTTTGGAATTATTTCGGTTTTTTTTTTTTTTTAACTGCTTTTCTTCTGTTGTCGCGGCTAAAGAGTTATTTATATCTTCTTGACCCCTGAAGTTTTTGGTGGATCCAAAAAGAGACTGTTATTTACTACTTTTTTTTTTGTCATCGGCTGTTATTTCATACTCCGTCCTTTTTTTAATATTGGATTTTTGGTTTAAAATATAAATTTAAGAAAAAACGTTTTTTTAAATAAAACTATTTAATAAATAAAATACTAATAATTCAACCAATTAAAAAAAACTACTATTATAAAACAAAAAACATCTCTAAACCATCTTATAATTGTATTGAAATTTGAGAAATTTCAAAAAATGTTATTTTTTAAGTGTTATTTTTCAAAAATGTCACATTTTCAAAATCTTTATAAAAATATCACTTTTTTCAAATAAAAAATTTCATTATATAATTTATATTCGGGTTAACTATGTTGTATTAGAGTTTAGTTTTGAGTGTTTAGGGGTTTTAAAAGTCAAAATATTTTTTAGGGTTTAGAATTTTAAGATATAAGATTTATAAATCTATAAGTAGTGGCATTTTTGTAAATGAACACCTCTAAATGGTATTTTTGTAAATATGCACACAAAAAATAGCATTTTTGCAATTGCTCTTTGAAATTTTGGTCACAAAAAATATGAGTTTTGAATTATTTGACTCGGTATTACTTTTATAATTTTTAAAATCTCGTCAACTTCTTTCATTTTTATAGTCCTCTAGTTAGATTCTTCTCGCTTCTCGGTTATTTGGAAATTAACGAAGAACAAATTATCGTCAACGAGGGCTAATCTAGTAATGGTTGTTATTAAATAGCTAGCTAACAAAGGATTAATCTAATTATTAGTTGATCATGTGCCATTAATTTGGATTATTTTGTAGATAAAGACATGGTGCGTTGTCTTTAATCATACAATTCTTGTCGGCGAATGTTCCATCTTTTTTCTTATCGACTAATCCAATTATATCAGAGTCGACCGGTAATTAAACCATTCGTAATTTAATGCATGATATAAATACTGATACTAGGTTACTAGTCATTTTCTACTCATCTTTTTTCAAGAGAAAAATCTAATGACTCAACTCAATATTTGAAGGGGAATTGGCAAAACTAGAAAAAGAAAAATTATTAACTCATCAGAT